ACATTCACTGTGACTGGATTTGATCGTATTCTGTATGGCGTTTACACGCATTGACATGCGCGACTTCGGTCGATGTTTGTGCTTACGCACTATCAAGGGGCCAAGTCCTCTTTTACTGGTTCGCCAGTTATTTTGCTGTGGACTACGGTCCAGTTCCCAACTTTGCGTACCCTACGGGGGGAGCGCATTAAAATGATTGGCGCTCACCGGGCGCGGCGTGTGTGGGGCCGTGTACCTCCTCCACATTTTTTTTTTTAAAATGTGGGAGAGCGAAGCCCTTGTAACTGGTATTTGATTGATATAAATATTGTGAGCCTTTTCCAAGCGGGAAGGGATTAATTAATAAGGGATTGACTGTTGTGAACCAGATACAAGTGGAATAGGGACAATTTATTGTTCTTAACCTTTTTGAGCTCTGTCTTCGTGAACGGGGTTCTTTAGCTTATAAGACTCTACCAACAGCTTTCGATTGCTCTCGTGAATATTCATTCTTCCAAGATACACTTAAAAAAACTAAGTTACTATACAAACACAACGTAAAAAAGGGTCCTAACTAAGACGATCACGTCATAAATTTATTAAACGGCCTATATTTAAACCTTTAGAAAGATCAAGTTATACTGGTCACGTAAATTAGATATATTTATATATCTTACAGATATAGATTCTAAAGAAATACAAGTATAAGTGGATATATAGTAGAAAAGAAAAAAGATGGGGGGGGGGTTCGTTACAATTTGGTGCCGTGACCAGGATAGAGGTTAAATTTTAAATAGGAGGCCGGTAATATAAAATTATGAGGTAGGCTATATGCCTACAATTTGTTGTCCGTGAAATGGAGAGGTGTCTTGGAGAGTGGTGTTTGCTGGGGGTGGTTGAGAGTCTGGGGGTGGGGCTTAAATATTAAAATTGAGTAATAATATAGGAGGTGTGTGCATAACGGAGCGAAATAATAAAAAGTGAAATAAGTGGAAAAACTCAATTAAACTAAGCGAAGGACACAACAGGTGTAATAAAAAAAATTAAAAATGGCTAAAAATAAGAAAAAATCAACCTCAATTAAGGCTAAGTCTAAAGATGAGATGAAAATGCTTCAGAAATTAATTAAGAATGCAGTGAAAACCTTTGAGTTTAAAATAAAGGATCTTGAGGAAAAATTTATTAACCAAACGAAAGATTACCAAATTAAAATAAATCAAGGAGAGGTGTCCGGGGCGAGCACCTCTCATGTAAATGATCCTAGACAAAATATTGTATATAATGTACATAATGTAACAATAGAAAAGCCGAAAATTTGGAAATGGAAATACTCATCCAGTATCATTTTTGGAAGATCTCACCAATTATTTAAAGAAAGTTCCATCTAATGGTCTCGAAATTTCGATTGCACAAGAGTGCTTAGTAGGTGAAGCGAAGTATTGGGCTCGCATTAATAATGTGCGTTGGACAACTTTTGATGATTTTAAAGCTGACTTCCTAAGAGTGTTTTGGGGTGAAGAAGAACAAAATAAAGTAAAGAGATTCCTTGTGCATAATAAATGGAATAGAAGTACACACCCCACCATGGTTAGTTATTTTCTTTATGTGGTTGAGAAGGCACAAACATTATCATATCCGTTACCTGAAAAACAATTAGTAACTGATGTCATCAGACATTATCCTAAAACTGTGCAGCAATTATGGAGAATAGCTAAAATTGAGACAATAATAGACACGACAGATTTCTTAAGAAACTTAGATGACATAGACAAACAAGATGAAGGTCGTGAACCTTACTATAATGAGAAAAGGAGGAAGTTTAATAATAATACGGAGCAAAAACATAAAGAAATACAACAATCATACAAAACATGGCGTAAACCCGAAGAGGGAAAAAAGAAGGTTAATGAAGTACATGAAATACATTTCACTAATGACCAACCTGATGTTACGACCCCTGAGCCAAATTTAGAGCTGTAGAGGTCGAACTAGTTCCCGATTCGACCCCTTACAATGTAAAAGGGAACAAAGCATTAAATATGTTATTAAAACTGGGTTGGCGACCTGGTCAAACATTGGGTAAAAACAATAGAGGGTTGCGAAAACCTATTACTTTAAAAGCAAATTTTAACAGAGAAGGCCTTGGTTATAACGACAATGTAAATAGCATATTAAACACCTTAAAAGCCAGGTCGGACTTGCCCATAACGGAGTTATTCGTGCAAACCGTCTTCGAGGAAGACGAAATATCAAAGGGAATTTATAGGGAATATGAGATCTGAAATTAAAGTTTTAATATTTGACAAAGAAATAGACGCGCTCCTCGACACTGGGAGCGATGTTACATGCATTTCAGAAAGTTTATATTTACAAATTAAAGATAATAATCGTAAAATATCAATAATGCCAGTTAAAGCAATGCAAATAAAAGGTGCTGTTGGGCAGCGCAGCACAAAAATACAACAGATGATCATATTGCCTATAAAGATAGATGAAGTAGTCTTTGAAACACAAACTTTAATTGTAGGTAATTTAATAAGACCTTTAATATTAGGTTTTGACTGGCTCAAGAGAAATAAAATATTGATTGATTTGAGAAATACTACTGTTGGAATAGAATTTAAAGTGAAAAACAAAGACTACTTTATACCTTTCCAATATAATAATAAATCTGTATTACATAATAACTGCATCAAACAATGTACCGATGATCCCTTAATAAATATAAAAATAGGATCTACATTGGAGGTCTCTGAAAGGGCAAAACTTAGTAAGGTTTTGGAAAAGCATAAGAATATGTTTTCGAGCAAATTGGGAAGAGCCAATTGCTATGAGCATAAAATTGAAATGATCGATGATGAACCTATAGTTACTAGGTCCTATCCCATTCCATATGCATATAGAGCGAAAATGGAAGAAAAGTTAAATGAAATGGAACAAGCTGGTATCATCACAAGGACATCAACGCCTTACAGTAGTCCATTGACATTCACTCTTAAAAAAGACGGCTCAATTAGAGTTCTGCTTGATGCCAGAAGCATAAATAAGAAAATGGTTGCAGAAACAGAGAAACCACCTATACAATTAGATGTTTTGAATTCATTTCACGGAGCGAATTATATCACTACCATTGACTTAAATAATGCATATTATCAAATTCCGATAAATAAAGATGGTAGAAAATATACTGGATTCACATTCAATGGAAAGTCATATGTATATAATGTTTTGCCGCAAGGATTAAAAACTTCAGTAGGAAGCTTTAGCAGAGTCATGAATTTAATATTAGGACCAGAAGTCCAAGAATTTTGTGTGAACTATTTAGATGATCTAGCCATTATTACAACAGGAACGTTAGATAAACATTTGGAGTACATTGATATTGTTTTAAGTAAATTGAACAAAGCTGGCTTAACGTGTAACTTGCAGAAATGTGAATTTATTTGTAAAGAAATTAAAATGCTGGGTTTTATAATTTCAACAGAAGGCATAAAGACAGTTCCCGATAAGATTCGAGCGATTCAAGAGTTTCCAGCACCTAAAAAGATTAAACAATTAAGGGCCTTTTTAGGTCTATGCAATTTTTATAGAAGGTTTATACCAAATTACAGCGAGAGCATAATACCGCTCTGTGAATTACTTAAAAAGGGACGAAAGTTCCAATGGAGCGGTAAAGAACAGAAGGCATTTGATTTTATAAAACAACAATTTATTAATACAATACAATTGCATCATCCAGACTTTAATAAGCCGTATTATTTACAAACAGATTGTTCCGGTGTGGGTATGGCCGGAGTACTATATCAGATAGATGATAATAATGAAATGAGAATTTTAGGCTATCATAGTAAAGCCTTAAAAGGCCCCGAATTAAATTGGTCTGTTACTGAACAAGAGTTTTATGCTGTAATAAGCTGCCTAAAGAAATTTGAAACATATTTGAGGGGCAGTAAAGTAATAATACTAACTGATCATAAAGCATTATTGTTTATTAATAATATGAAGTTATTCAATGGTAGAGTAACCCGATGGATTTTGTATATAGAACAATTTAATTATGAAGTACAGCATATATCGGGTAGACGTAATATTGTTGCAGATGTGCTATCACGTTATCCTCCTGATGGCGATTTAATACAAGAGGATAAAAATAATAGTTTAGAAATTGCTTACACAGAGAGCGAACCGAATATTGAGTTGATAGAAAAATTAAAATCCTTATCAGTATATCAATTACAAGATTCAGAGTCGTTGGCTATTATTAAAAAGTTAAAGACATTAAATACTTCCATAATAAAACAAAACAATAAATTTAAAAGGTATAGTTTGAAAAATGATGTATTATATTACAAAACGAATTTACAAGAAGTAATATATTTACCTAAAGCAGCGGTCGGCAACGCGCAGCCCGCGGGCCGCATGCGGCCCGCGGACGTTCTACTTGCGGCCCGTGAATGTTATGTAAATAAATCCTAATAATATCAAAATAGATGCATAAACGAACCACAAACATATAGCGTATAGCTATAGTCAATATTGTATAACGCGCTTCGCTCTGCCCGCGGATGAAATGTGCATATATCAGAGATTAGTTTTTTTTTTACCTTGAAACCTGACATTTAGCGTATTTAACATAACTGTAACATTAAAAGTATTATGTTGTAGCAAACATTATAAGTGTAAAATAAATAGGAATCTCGGACTATCTGTCCGCCGCGCGCGAACCCCGCACAACCGTATAGTAGTGTGGAACCCGCTTCGCTTGGCTCGCGAATGAACAATAATTAATGAACGACGCGCGGGAGGGGCGCGGGCGGAACAAACGAACGTTAGCGAGGACAGTTGCTTTCCGCTCTCCGTCAATTACCTACTTTGATGCGTGATTAGTGAAACAATTTCATTTGTTGCGTTTTTGTTTTGATTTCGGTAAGTGTGAGATTACTTTTTATTATACACTTTTGATAGGTACCGATCTACGTAAGCTTGGTCTGGTAATAATGCTTTTATTGTTACATTTGATAATGGCTTCTAAAAAAAGGAAGTTAGCAGAAGAAAATAGGGTATTTAACGATGCATGGACAGATTTATACTTTTTTATTAATTGCAATGGCAAACCGCTATGCTTAATATGCCAAAAAACCCTTACTATACAAAAAGAATATAATGTCAAACGCCACTATGATAGCGAGCATAAAGCTAAATTTGCATGCGTAGTGGGTGAATCACGAAAAAATAAAATTAACGCACTGAAATCTTCAGTTAAGAATCAACAAAATCTTTTTAAGGTTCAAGTACAAAGTAACGAGTCGAATATACGTGCAAGTTTAAGGGTAGCGGAAATTCTTACGAAGTCTGGCCGACCATTTACCGACAGCGAACTTATAAAACAATGTGCTTTAGTCATGGCTGAGGAGGTGTGGCCCGACCTAAAAAAAAAATTTGAAAATATAAGTCTTTCTGCAAGAACGTGTACCCGGCGAACTGAAGATTTGGGCGATAATTTATGTCAGCAACTCCGGGAAAAAGCACAACAATTTGAATGGTTCTCTTTAGCTACCGATGAAAGTAATGATGTTACTGATACTGCCCAGCTTTTAATATTTGTTCGCGGAATCGATAAGAACTTTAATGTCTATGAGGAGCTTTTACATTTATGTAGTTTGAAGGGCACGACTACCGGAGAAGATTTGTTTTGTAACTTAGAACAAGCGCTAGTATCAATGCAATTACCATGGGAAAAATTGGTAAGTGTTACAACTGACGGAGGCAGGAACATGAGTGGACAAAATAAGGGTTTGGTAGGTAGAATCAAATCGAAACTGGCAGAGATAGGATGTGCCATCCCATTATTTTTCCATTGCATCATCCACCAAGAAACGTTATGTTCCAAGGTCGTATCATGGAAAGAAGTAATGGACATCGTGGTATCGACTGTAAACTACATCAGAAAAAATGGATTGACTCATCGTCAATTTCAACAGTTTCTGTCAGATACGGAAGCAAATCATCGAGATGTTGTTTATTATTCTGAAGTGCGATGGTTAAGTAGAGGCGCAGTGCTAAAAAGATTTTTTGATCTCAGAAAAGAAATCAATACTTTTATGAATGAAAAAGGCAAATCTATTCCAGAGCTGACAGACACTCAATGGTTAATAGACCTTGGATTTTTGACAGATGTAACTCATGAATTAAATACGCTAAATGTGAGGCTTCAAGGTAAAAAAAAAAACTAATTTCTGATATGTACACAGACGTAAAAGCATTTCAAATGAAAATTAAACTCTTTATAGAACATATTGACGAAAAAAAGTTGGATCATTTTCCGAATTGTAAAGAGGCTGTTGAGGAAGCTGGAATTAATTTTCATTGGAAAATTGATAAAATGAAGGATATTTTAATACAACTGCAATCTCAATTCAGCGACAGATTTGGTGATTTTGAAAAAGTTTCAAGTAAACTGAAGGTGTTTGCAAACCCTTTTTCATGTGATATTGAGGAAGTACCGAGTAATTTACAAATGAACATGATTGATCTCCAGTCTAATGATGTTCTTAAAAGCACTTTCTATGAACTCAAAGATCTTGTTAAGTTTTATGGTAGCTTGCCTTCTGATTTTGACGAATTGAAAAAGTTTGCTCAGCAGTTCATTACAATTTTTGGTAGCACTTATTTATGCGAACAAACTTTTTCAATTGTCAATTACAGAAAAAATAAATGTGCATCTCGTCTCACAGATGAGCATTTGAGAGCCATTCTACGAATTGCAACTACAAATATGACAGCTAACATACAAGAAATAGCCTCCCAAATACAACCTCAGACATCACACTGAAAGTATATTAGTAATTTTGTAGTTTTAATTTCTATTTTAATTCCGTTATTTTCTAGCTATAAACGTAATGTAATTACATGTACGAATTAAATTCCGTATGTTTTAACAATTTGAATGGCATTTTCATTTTTTCTATGGGATTTGATGAATAAATAAGTGTGTAAATCACAAGTGCGGCCCGCCTTTAGTTTATTTTGCCACCTAGTGGCCCTTGCCCGCCAAAAGGTTGCCGACCGCTGACCTAAAGCATTGAGACAAGATATTATAAATCAAGTGCATGTCGAAATGGGTCATCAAGGACCCTATAAGGTAATTAAATATGTGAGAGACAGATTCTTTTGGAAAGGTTTAACAAAAGATATTAAAAACCAATTAAGGGCTTGTCATTTATGTCAGTTATCTAAGAAAAGCAATATAACATATGTGGGTCCCTGCAAATCTATAATAACAGAAAACATTGGCGATATAGTCATGGCAGACTTATATGGACCACTTGTATCAGGTACCTTTGGGTACACTTTCATATTTGTCATTCAAGATTCATTCAGTAAATTTATCAAATTATATCCTTTAAAACAGTCAACAGCAAAGTCTGTTGTAACAAAAGTAAAGCATTTTGTTGAGATTATAAAGCCCAAGGCAATAATGACAGATAATGGAAAACAGTTCGTAAGTAATCACTGGAAACAATCAATGAGTGAATTAAATATAAAGCCAATATATACCACAGTTAGAAATCCTAGACCAAATACAACAGAGCGAGTAAATAAAGAGTTGAGCAGATTATTTAGGACGCTTTGTCATACTAACCACAAAGATTGGGCGTTAATATTGCCGAAATTAGAAGAATTGTATAATAATTCTTATCACAATAGTACAGGCTTCACGCCTTGTGAGATTCTTTATGGTGAGTCTAATGAGATGTCTTTTGACAAAGTAATTTCCAAAAGTAAAGACAAACATAATGTCGAACAGATTAGACAACAAGTGCGTAAAAATTTAAAAGAGGCAAGTCGAATAAGAAACACAAAATTTGATAAGCGAAATAGATTAATAAAATATAATATTGGTGACTTAGTAAAAATTTCAAGATCTAGTAGATCAGACGCTGATAATAAAGTTATGAGTAAGTTCAATTTGGCATATGAAGGACCTTATGTAATAGCAGCCGTACCATTTGACAATGTATATACCTTAGCAAATCCAGAGACAAACGAAATTAGAGGAATTTTCAATGCTATTCACTTATTAAAATATTTTAAATAATAATTTCTTTTTGTATAAATTAGAGTAATTAAATAAATATTGTAACATAAAAGGGTTTTGTGGGTGGCCCATGGAAATAATTGTTTAAGTTAAAGGTCTAAAATTATTAAAGTTATGAGCAAGAGATTTGTTATATGATAGTAGAACGTTATTAATATATAATGAAGAGTTGTAAATATAGATCGCAAGATAATTTTGTAATCATTTTTATTAAATAAATATGGGAGTTGGGTCAGGGCAAATGGCTCAAACACATTTATCCTATGTGGTATCGAACTGACCTCAACAAATATCCAACTGGATTGTATGCACATAAAGTGTGACACTATCGAAATAATGTTTCAAAGATTTAAAGATAAATTAATAAAATAAGAAATCGACAATTGACTGCAAACTTTATTAACAACACGATATACAATAACTTGAATTATGGTGTTATCACATTGTGATAATTGTGGTTGAAGGGGTGTTGGTGGCGGCCATTCTCTGGGGCAGGGGGATTTGATAACATACGCCGTATTGTAACAGATTAAAAGAGGAAAGAACAGATATATAAACAATTATTTGAGTGTAGTGTATATGCTCTCAAAATACTAAAATTTTATATTAACGACTCCACTATGTGGATCATTAACATAAAATTTGGGGGTGGATTGTGACGCCTCATAATTATTATTAATAAATAATAGTAAAATTCATTATACAGACATTTAAAAATGTCTTAGAAATTATAATTTAAACAATAAAATGCAAATAATAAGCATAGAGTTCAAAAATATCCATTTGGAATATTGAATATTATATATATTAGTAAACGCATAAAATGTCTCTAAAAATCTCTAAATTTATTAAAAACCTGCTTAAAATGTTCAAAATGTATCAAATCATATAAATACAAGGCGATTATATTGCAATAACAAAGATAAATAACATTTGTAATATAGGTTGTTGAAGTTGATGAAAGTGTTCGTGTAATAATTGGAAAATTTCCAAGTTAATGAACGTGTTCTTGTAATGTTCCCTTATATTGGGGCGTTGTCGGAGACACATACCCAAGGTTGTACATATATATGGGGTGGTCGGCTGACCGACTGCTAGTACTAAGGTTGCACAATGACTAGTCCTATATTAGGGACTTAACATAGTAAGGTCTGACGAACCAAAGCATTAATATAGAAGGTCTCTATGATGCATAAGCATTATGATAGCAGAGTTATGACTTGAAGTCCCATATGAATAAGACATACAGTAGTATGGTCTATGAAATAAAGCAAATATGTGGAAGGTCTCAAATATGTAAAAGCATTATATTGAAAGAAATGGGACTTGAAAAGGATTATTATAGTGGCGTGTAGGTTGCTTCGCAGCCTCTGAGACCGAGGTAAACTTGGACTCACTAACCGATGTGTCCTAGACATATCATCTTAGTGCCGGTGGTAAGCGGGTTTGTTGTAGCAATACGACTTGCCCGTGGACATCGCACACCCCTACCGGTTGTGGGCGGCGTCTTAGCGCATAGCGTTATGATACGTCGGCTATCTTTCGGATTAGGGTGAGTGTGTTTGGTAGTACTTTTAAGTGCAGCAAGCATACTCAACTTCATGTCTTAGTGCAATAGCGCTATGATACGTGGAGTATTGGCTACTGACGTTTTAGTGCCGTACTACTATGATACGTTGGTGGTAGTTTTAGTTAACAACATTATCAAATTTTGTTACCAAAGTCGATAGGGATCATGTGGGTGTGTTGTGAGGGGGCGCCATCCGTATGATAGTTGCATTGATGCTTACTGCTACTTGCAGTATTGTGTCTTGTGATGGATCTGCGGGTGTGCTGCACCTGATTTGATGCATCTTGTGGTTCTGGTCGATGGAGGTATGCGGGTGGTGATGTCTGCTGGGACTGTATGGGGGACCTTGGGATGGTGTAAGCCCGACGATAGTCGTATTGATGCTTGTTGCATTCTGTAGCATTGCGTCTCTACGATGGTTGTTTGGCGGGTCGCTATTCTCAATGGCGCTCTCTGCGTCTTGGTTTGACTCACAACCTAAGTAGCTTTGCCCAAGTCGGGTCCCTTCATTGCGGGGCTGCAGACTGTCTGCCCTCCATGATGTTTTATATAACAACTTAATAATATATCTCTATAAAGTTCCCACCTTTGAGAGATTGAAGGCAACTTGTTGGTGGGTGAGACAAACATGATCGAAAAATGCATATACTCAACGTCAGTGACACAAACCCTTTCTGATGGCGAATTATTAATATTATCTTATAACTGCCTATTTGGCTATATCTGCCATTGTATTGGTTGGTGGAGCATATGTGTTGACCTCATGCGGGTGGTAGCTGGAGGGAGAATCTGAGGAGGCTCTCAAGGCTGCGGCCGAAAGCCGCGCAACGTGGGACCCCATTCCCTTGAGGTGAGCGGTAGACTCATGACACGCTCTGCGGCCAATTGGCCGTGCTGACCATGCAATTGGTGGTGATGCCTTACACTTACATCACGTCTGCAGGAACGGCGGTCTGGCAGGTGGTGGCGCTCACGGAAGGCTTTTTATGGTCAGTGTGCCTATTGTTGCCTAACCCGTGTGACGTACATTCACTGTGACTGGATTTGATCGTATTCTGTATGGCGTTTACACGCATTGACATGCGCGACTTCGGTCGATGTTTGTGCTTACGCACTATCAAGGGGCCAAGTCCTCTTTTACTGGTTCGCCAGTTATTTTGCTGTGGACTACGGTCCAGTTCCCAACTTTGCGTACCCTACGGGGGGAGCGCATTAAAATGGTTGGCGCTCACCGTGCGCGGCGTGTGTGGGGCGGTGTACCTCTTCCACATTTTTTTTTTTAAAATGTGGGAGAGCGAAGCCCTTGTAACTGGTATTTGATTGATATAAATATTGTGAGCCTTTTCCAAGCGGAAAGGGATTAATTAATAAGGAATTGACTGTTGTGAACCAGATACAAGTGGAATAGGGACAATTTATTGTTCTTAACCTTTTTGAGCTCTGTCTTCGTGAACGGGGTTCTTTAGCTTATAAGACTCTACCAACAGCTTTCGATTGCTCTCGTGAATATTCATTCTTCCAAGATACACTTAAAAAAACTAAGTTACTATACAAACACAACGTAAAAAAGGGTCCTAACTAAGACGATCACGTCATAAATTTATTAAACGGCCTATATTTAAACCTTTAGAAAGATCAAGTTATACTGGTCACGTAAATTAGATATATTTATATATCTTACAGATATACATTCTAAAGAAATACAAGTATAAGTGGATATATAGTAGAAAAGAAAAAAGATGGGGGGGGGGGGGTTCGTTACAGTAGGAATAAAAGTAAGTGTTGACTTTTTCTAGGACTTTAATAAGTATTCTCTCATTCGACACATAACACTAACATATATTACCGTGGGGGCTACACTACAGTGCTCTTTTGCGAGGATTGTGGACTATCATTCAGATATAATAGTTAGGACGATACTCAACATGTTGATATATAATACAGACTTTCCGAAGCGTAGTTTCACGTAGGGGATATGTTCTTTAACGCGGATTTTTATGAATCTTTTTGTTTGCCCTATGTAAGAGAGACCAGATTCATAATAAAACTTGTACACTTTTATGCGTGGTAGAACCAAGCTGCAGCTGTATCTATATTTATAATCTAGTTGTAGCACGAATGGGACCTCGACCGGCTCGACCGGGGAAGGACCACGCTCTCATAG